GTCGGTCAGTGGAGACAGTCGGTTACCTTGAGAAAAATGTGGCAAACTCCAACTGTACATTGGCAGCTTTTCTCGATACAGAGGGGGCTTTCAACAATGGTAGGCTGGAGTCAATCCATAATGCTCTCTATATTTCTGACATTCCCTCTATCCTGTTTGAATCGATTAATAGAATTTTAAAAAGCAGAATAATCACATAGAGCTTGCGAGACAGTTCCATTAGGAAAACTGTCGGCAGAGGGACACCGCAGCGAGGAGTTCTCCCACCCTCTTTTGTCTTGTGGTGATTAATGAAATACTTGGGAGTTTCGATAAACTTCTATTAAAGTCAGTCGCATATGCTGATGACGTAGTGGTGCTGATAACTGGTAGAATTTTTTTAAACTATCTTAGACCTAATGCAAAGTTCATTGAGAACTTGACAATGGTCAGCGGCGTTAACCCTGCGAAAAATGAACAAAACACAAAATGCAAAATTGATCAATTTTCGCCGCCAGTCCTGGATGGAATTACATTGAAACTTTTCTTTCTTCCAATAAAAATCTTGGTATGATCTTGGACCGCTGTTTAAAGGCGAGTAACATCAAGGAGCGTGCGAAAAGGGCCTCATTGCACACTATTCATGTAGGAACGCCATAGGGAAGAGCTGGGGGCTCAGACCAAAAATCGTACACTTGAGGTATGGTTATGAGTGGTCTTACATGTTTTGACATATGGGTGCCTCGTCTGGTGGCATGCGCTTGAATCAAGAGCTCTCATAACCAATTCAACAACAGTGCAGAGAGCCGCATCCTTACTGATAACCAGAGCTCTCATGTGTGTAAGCGAACTCGTTCGGATTTGTGCAAAGAAAGTTTCGCTCCCGAGTGAAAATTAGCGAATCTGTTCTCTGATTGAATGTAAGGCTAAACTTCTTGACACTGGATATTTTAGTTCAATTTGAAGTAGCAAGGAGATCGCTGATACTACGGATAGCTTGCGGATGGCGCTCTTCACGTTTCGGCCGTGCACGAATACTGGACATATCAATTAGTCGGAATATATTAGGTAAAGATAATAGAATTAGTTATTACAGGTCATCCTTTTTCGACTTCAATTACATAGAGGTTACGATACCTGATAGGGACACCTAGGCCGGTGGCCGGAGAGTAACTCTCCCTCTCTCGGTAAACATTGTGGGAGATAATGAAATGAAGCGACCGGACTTCAAATTTCATTGAAACCTGAAAAGCTATCGTCTGTCTGCAAAAGAAATTTGTTGTTAGTAAACAAGCGACCAGTTCTGGTGGTGAGTTTACTGATTGATGATGCACAAAACTATGATTTTGTGTAAGTTGTGGTGAATTGCCCATGGGCGGTGTGTTGGAAAGCGTTGTATTAAGTTGACAGTCATTCTTGACTGCAAGAAAGTCCTCCATTAAACACCTGAATTCATTAAGATTTGTTGAAACTATATAAAAATCTGAACCGATCTCGATAAAATTTGGCAGAGGTATCTGATATCTGGTACAAAATATCATTATTGTGGAGTGAATATGACGCATATGAGGGACTTTAACGCCAAATCGGACGAAACATATATTTGTGAGCCATAGCTATATCTGAACCGATTTTCACCAAACATGAAGTACTTCTAGGCTGAGTTTCGTCGGAAGTGCCAAAATTCAGTTCATTTGGGGTGATATTAGCCATTTGGTGCACAAAAAACCTGAAATCGTATAAAAATATATATACACAGGTGGCCAAAACTAAAGCAACTGAAATTACAAGGAGAATGAATGCCCTGTAACTTTCTTAAAAATGAAGAAAATGAGAAATTTTTTCTAGTTTTAAATTAGGCACTATTCACTTTTTAAAAAACCTAAAACAAAAAACTAAAATTAATTTTTATATAAAAAATAATGTATGGTACAGTCAATTAACCCGATTTTGGCTTGGACAAAACAAAAGCAACTCTGTTGTACATTCATGTGATCGCTGCAATTTCAGTTTTTTTTACTGTTATATTTATCACTTTTTGCTTCCTTAGATAATTTCGCTTGTCATAAATAATTTTTGAGAGGTATTTTACAACATCGTGTGTTTTTCTTTTCGTTTCTTAAGTACTGCCCAAAAAAGTTAAATAATGGCTAGAAGCAAATACAGTACATGAATAAAACACCATATTATCAGTGACTGTGAAAACAACATATCGTAGAAAATGATTTCCGAGAAATATTTCATAAATATTTCCGTATACTAAGTCGGTTTTATGAAACTGGATCAGTAGTAACAGTCTATAACGGATGAAGGCCGTGAAAAACTTCAGCCCGTACTGATCAACAAATTGCGAGAGAAATAAAAAACAACGATTTAAGAGTTCAACTGGATTGGTGAGAGAGCTATCATTGGATATAAGCTGGAGATCAGTGCGTAGGCTAGAAGTGGTAGCTGGTCTGCATGCCCGTAAGCCCCCAAAAAAGCCATTTATATCTGAAAAAAGCCAGTATGGCATTCGGCAACGATAATATCAACTGGAATCCAGCTCAATGTAAAAACTTTTATTCTGGGATGAGTCTACGTTTAATATTAAAGGAAAAATTAAGGACTCAAGCCGCAGTGTTGCAAGGGTAGAGTAAAGCATGAGGTAGGGTCAAAAATGGTGTGGCGCTGTTTTTCTTTCTATGGACTTGAGTCTATCCATGAAATAAAGGAAGTTATGGATCGGTTTGTTAACAAAGATGTTTTGGACATCACGTTGTTCCCTTTCGCTGAGGAAAATATTCGGCTTATTCGGGTGTTTCTGCATGACAATGATCCCAAACTTGCATCAAAACTTGTTAAAGATTGGTTGCGGGAGTCAAAAAATCGATGTTTTGTTAGGGCTGGCACAATCACCTGACCTAAACTCCATAGAAAACCTTTGGAGTATCGTAGACCGGAAGATTAAGCGAGATTCGGAAACAAATAAACACAACATTTTCTAAAGAATTCAAGGTGCCTGGGAAAGTATACCCAAGGATCAAATTGAGAGTGTTATAGATTCAATGCCTCGTAGGTGTGCAGCTGCTATCAATAATAATGGATGCTATCGATTCTAGCCAAAATTTAATTATTTTAAAATAAAAAATCAAAAAGTTGCTTTAGTTTTGACCAAGCAAAAATTGGGTCATTTTAGTTTTCCATATATTATTTTTCAGTCAAAATTATTTTTGTACTTTTATTTTTAGTTTTTTAAAAGTGAATTAAGTACCTCATTTAAAGGTGGAGAAATAATTACGATTTGTTTATTTTTGTAAAAGTTACAGGGCATTTATTGTCTTTGCGATTTTAGTTGCTTTAGTTTTGGCCACCAGTGTATGTGGGCTATATCCAAATCTGAACCGATTAAAAAAAATTAAACAGTTATTTTTGAGCTGTATCTGATATCTGGTTCCAAACATTGGAGTGCATATTACGCATGTGAGGGACTTTAACACAACACAACAAAAATATATATGGGAGCTATAGCTATATCTGAACCGATTTTCACCAAATTTGAAGTACTTGTTCCTAAAATGAATTCATTCGGAATTGCCAAAATTCAGTCCATTTGGGCTGATATTAGCTATTTGGTGCACAATAAACCTGATATCTGATAAAGATATATATATATATATATATATATATATATATATATATATATATATATATATATATATATATATATATATATATATATATATATATATATATATATATATATATATATATATGGGAGCTATATCCTATTCTGATCCGATCTCGATAAAATTTGACAGAGGTATTTTTGAGCTCTATAAGTTGTTTGGTACCAAATATCATTCCTGTGGAGTGCATATTTAAAAAAAAATACATGGATAGATGGACGGACTGACATGCATAAATCGACTCAGAAGGTGCTTTTATGAATATCCTCAAAAGTAACTATGGGTCTATCTCGCTTACTTCTCCATGTTACAAACAAATGCACAAAGACAGCTCAACGGTGCTGTGAAAGACATACTTTTAAAATATATTCAGTTCCAATATCGAATTTATTTAAATGTTCATCATTAGAAAATAAAAGTAAAAATAATAATTAAATACTTATGAAAACAAATAAACAATAAATTATTTGGTTTACTAATAGTTTTATTGTTTTTTTTTTATTTATTTCAAATTGTATTTTTAAAATAAAAAAAACTATAACTTTTTCACTGTTTTTAAATTAAATTTTAAATATTTATTTAAAATTTCACATTTTTAATTTTTTTCTTTTTATTTGAAATACGATTTATTTTTCATGATTTTTTAATTTTGTGTTTTTTTTTTGTTTAGTTGTCAAACATTGATTAAATTCCCTAAATCTATAATCTTTACTAGATTTTCTCATTTCATGCTTATAAGGATTTGCGTTTCATTATTTCTTTTTTTCTTTCTTAAAAATTAAGCTACAATTTCACTTTAAATAATTAATTCGCATTGTTTTATTTCGTATATATGTTTTTTTCTTTTTTTGTTTTCATTTGAAGCTAAAGTCTTATTTTTGGTTTGGATTTCAAAACGTTTGTCGTTTATTTGTTTTTTTTTTTTTGTTTTGTTATACTAAAAATCTAATTTTTTTTTCGTCTCATCGATTAGATCCTTAAAATTTAATCATAAGGATGGAGGTGTGTGTTCTTTTTTTTGTTTTGTTTGCATGTGATTTCAGAGTGTGCAATTAAGTTTGTATGTATATTTTTATGTATATCGTATTGTTGTTTTGTAATCCTTTAAAATATATGCAGATGAATTTATTTTCGCTTTATTTATTTCGCTTGTTGTAGTTGTTGTTTTATTTGAATTGTCAATAAAATATCTTAAAAGCCTAAAAAAAATTGAAGTTTTATTTTAGTTTTTTTTTTTTTTTTAAGTTAAATGGACCTTTTTTGTTGTTTTATAATAATAATAATATTTAATAATAATAATAGTAAATACTTTAAATAATTGTAAAGGTAAATATACAATAAACATTATAGAGTTGTTTTTTTTTTTAATAGAGAAATTATTGTTTTTGCAGAAAGCTTTGTTTAATACTTAAAATTACATTTTTTTACGGCTACTTCACTTTGCTTCATTAGACTTCTTTATGGTTAGAGAAAGAGCGAAGAGAGAGAGAGAGAGAGAGAGGGAGAGGGACTACAAACGTAGAAGAGAAAATAAAACAAACAGCTTTTGTTATAACACTATTCGACAAAATTGAATTTTTTAATAATAATCTAAATAGAAGGAGTAAGTTGCCCTCTCCCGGACATTTTTTGAAATTTTCACATTAAAATTCCTTGGAATCCGTTTGATTTAGGTATATAGTGTCTTTGGCAATATTGCAGATAAAAACACGAGAATTATATTGGTATTTTTGGATTCTTTAACACTAAAGCGTCAAAATCAAGAAAGAGGGTCTTTTTGGTCCTTTTTCCAAAATATGTTTAAAAACTCCCTCTAAACGGAGTCCTAGGAAGTCAAAATATTCTTCAAAATTTTTTTTCATTAAATTCTACTACAGGTCTTAGAAGCGTCAAAAGTCTAAGTCTTATCTAAACGCCAAAAACTCATAAATATTAAAAAAAACCTCCTCCTCCACCATAGTATGGAGGGTAGATTAAGTTTGTCATTCCGTTTGTAACACCTCGTAATTTACATTTTAGACCCCATAAAGTGTACATATTCTTGATTAGCATGAAGTTCTATGTCGATTTAGCGATGCCCGTCTGTCTATCCGTCTGTGGAAATCACTCTAGCTTCCGAACGAAATGAAGTAAATTGATAAATATTTACTCTAATGTATATTATGTCTGCAGGACTTTTGGTATTGAAAATGGGCAATGTAGGTCCACGTCTTCGTATAGCCCCCACGGTACCTCCCGATATTCGGTATTTTGATGATTTTAGCGACATTATTCACCGGAATTGTTTCAAATTTGGTATTTGAAGTTCGTAATGAGTACTACAGCCAATGACAAAAAAATTTCGTATGCAGGTCCACGTTTATGTATAGCACCCATGTAACGGTACCTCCCGAGAGCGCTGCCGCACAAAACAAAGAAGCGAAGAGTAGACTCTGTAAATAAGAGTAGACTCGAGTAAATTTCGCTCCGGAGTGAAAATGAGTGCTATGATTTAAATTATTCGAATAACATGTGGAACTCTCTCTCTCTCACTTATCCTCTTTCTCCCTTCCCCTTCCTTCACCCTTCCATAAAATATCCCTACCTTAATCATAAATTGATTGAAAGCATTATCGTGTTGTTTTTGTTTTTATTTTGTTGTGGTTTTTTCACTAGTCAACTTTGTTTTCGCTTTTATTTTGTCCTAAACTTCTACCATGGAATTGGATTAAAATTTCTCAACTACTTAACTGAATATTATTGGGATTTCTATTTATTTTTTTTTTCATTTGCTAAAGAACTTTGGTTTCCATTTTGCTTTGCTCTCATTTTCTTATCGCATTACATTTTATGCAATTTGCCATTCGTTTTAATAATATTTTTTATCACAATTTCTTTTGTTTTTTTTTTCTGGGGGAGAATTCTATTTGGTGTCTTTGGGAGAGCCGGTGGCGGCAGCTTCAGCACGACTGTTGGAATCAGTATGATCACCATCTTTCTCGTCGTCGTCCTCCTCCTCGGGACCCGTGGGGCTAATAGGTGACATTTCCACACTATCCAGTAATGGTGTTTTCTCTTCACTGCAATTGTTGGAACCACTCTTCGAATCCATTGAAAAGATCTTGGCCAGCTCAATGCCACTGATTGAACGATGTGTGGGCGACTCATCGGGCGAGGAGGAGGAGGAGGTGTTGGGGCCAAAGCTTAAATTATGACTGCCATTGTCACTGCTGGTATCACCACCTCCGCCAGCGGGCCCAGCTGTTGCATTAATGGAGGAACCGGAGGAGTTGTTTAACGACTTGAACACAAGGGGATTGCGTGAAGAGGACTTCTTGGGTGACTTGGTGGTATCTAGGTGATGGGAATTGGTGTTGGTATTCGTGGACGAAGATGATGGTGTGGGCGAGGTTGAGGCCGATGTCGAGGCCAGCTTTGGCGAGGGTGAACGATGTTGATGATAGTGATATGATGCCGATGCCTGGCCCTGATGCTGTGGACTTAAATTGTAGGCGGTTGCAGCCCTCGAGGAACTGCTTAAATTCGCTGACAGTTGACAGTTGGGTAACGTGGCCAACGAGGTGGTCTTAATATTGGTCGTTTTTAGGCGATTTATTGAACATGTGCTCCAGCTTAGCTGATTTGGGTGGGAACGCTTAGCAGTGTTGCCATTGCCTCCGGACTTGGTCAACGATGAGATGGCCGAGGAAGACGAAGAGGATGCCTGCTGCTGTTTCGAATTGGAGGCCTGGTGATAATGATAGTCGTAGCTGTTGTATTTGTGAGTGGCTGCATGCGTCTTACTGCCTTGCTGATAATGACGTGGCCTTTGAGGCTGGAGCGGTGGTGGAATATTTTGATTCTGATATTTTCCCGCCCCGCCGTAACCATTATTGTCTTCTTTGAAACTCAAATCATCCTCGGACTGATAGTATGGATCACTACCATCCAGCGGCATGGTATTATTGATGGCTGTCTGTTTTAGAGTCGTTTCGAAGGTCACCAAATGCCTCTCGGAATAGGATTTGCGAGCATCCATCACGCGCAAATAATCATTGGAATCACCGAGATCTTCACTCTTGGAGCTGCAGTAACGGCGACTGTTGCTGTGCTGCGATGACGCGGAATTGGTTTGATTGCAAAAACTGGTGGTAACTGTTATCTCCGGACCGAGGGTGTGGTTGGATCCCATTATTTCATTAATGGAACCGCCACGATTCAATGATTGTCGACTGTGGCTTCGGCTGCCGTACGAGGATGAGCTGTCATAGTGATTGTCTCTCAGCGAAGAGGGTGACAGACGGGCCGAGTGATTGGGCGAGGTTTCCAGCAGGGAATCATTCGACTTGGCAATGCGATTTTTACGATAGAATTTGCTGTCACGCCACATGGTTTGGCGGGAGCTGGATGAACCCACCACAGTGGCTGGTCTTTGCAACTCCAGAGATTGGCCACATTGGGCCAGCATGGTAGAGCTACCAGGCGAGGAGGTTATCATCTGGCCCGGCGATGTGTCATACATGGTCACCTGGCTGGAGGTCTTGCTAATGCGAAATGAGGCATGGGTCAATTTCTTGTACTTCTCACTGTGGACATTGACCCGATTGTCGGAGTGCACCCGATCGGTAATGGGCATAAAGGCGTTATCAATGCGTCGTTCCTCTTCCAGCGAACGAAAAGCCAGACGATTAACATTTTTCAAATGTTGCTTGTCACTGGAACTGCTGCGCTTTGCTGGGGACATATCCTCAAAGGAGCTAACCCGATATTTCTGGGAGAATACCTCAATGGTACCCGATTTCTTGGAGGGTGATGTGGTGTATATGGAATTTTGATCATTTACCAGGATTTTTGGGGGATCAAACTGTTGTTGTGTGGGATTTTGTTGTTGTTGTTGCTGCTGCGATTGTTGTTGTTGCGATCCCGATGTCGAGGCCAAGCTGGAGTTGCTGGAATTTGTGGTGGCTGTGACCAAAATTTTCGGTGACAACGACACCGGAAAGTGTTGAGGTCTCAGGTTACCCGTGGATCCCGAAGAACTAGAGGCACCCGAACACGAACCATCCTCAATGTGTAGAAAATTATTGGGAGAAGATTCCCGACAGGGAGATGATATGGCCGAATCCTGTGACACCATGTTACGTGGAACGGTGGCCAACTCCAAACAGGTCTCCAGACCCGCTGTTGTTGTGGCAATTATAACATCTTCCACACCCTCATCTATGGGTGATGAAATTGATTGGAAACTGCTCAAACGAAAGGAGGATCCCGTTGAAAGATCATTATCGGTTAGGGAACCAAATGCTGAATCCTGTGAAGGATTGCTACGTCCATATTTTAGGCATTTCAGCGAGTATTCCAAACGACGACTCTTGGAGTTCTTAAAATTACACATGTCGGCGGTCAATTGGTGGTTGAAGGATGGACCCAAGGCCGCTGCGGCTGCTATGGCCGCTGCCGATGATGATGAGGCTCCAATGGCATTGGCCACACTATGGGCGTTGGAAGATGAAGTTCCCGCTCCCGTTCCCGCCTGGCTATGGGCCACAGTCAGATTGTTCAAACTCAAATTCTCTTTCAAATTATGCGACTCATAATCGAAAACCTCCAGCTGGGTGGTAATGGATGATTGATCTGTATCTTCATGCGACATTATGGTAGTTCCCGTCACACTGGTGGTACTTTCTGAGGAGCAAATACTTCCACGATTCGCATTACCCATATGACCATTAGCCATTTTTAGATTCAGTTCACTCTCGGTGGTGGAACTGCAACGTATCATGACCGGATATTGATGATACCTTTGCTCCGACTGTGCTTCGCCATTTTGCCTATTGTTTTCCTTGACCTGCTCCGGACTCGCTTGCTGCTCATCCATCTGTGTGGTATTATCACAATAGTGGATGGGTGATTCCATTGGATCATACGATGACTTATGACACAAATACGGTTGGCTATGATAATAGCCAATGGCCAGGGATGGCTGGGAGGCTGAATGTTGCTGCTGATGCTGATACTGCTGTTGGAGCATTTGATGTTGATGTTGTTGGTATTTGAGGCGTTGCATCATGTGTTTGGTTTGATAATTACAGCCAACTATGATTTCGTCCAGCAGTCCTTCTTCGGAATCACTTGATATACAATCGAAAGATTCCATTGTTCGACTTATGCTATTGTTCGTCCAACATGGTAGGCCATCGAGTGTGTGTGTGTGCAACAAATCCGGTATGACATCAACGTAAACGGATGGAAAAAGGAAAGAAAGCCCAAGAAGAAGAAGAAGAAAAGAGAAACATAATTGTTTGGGTTAGTTTTGTTATTTATGTCAAGTGTCTGAGGTTAACAAACAATTCCCTCAGAAAAAGTTCATAAAGTTTGCAATGTCTTCTAACAATACAAAATGTTGTGGTTGTTGTTCTTGCATATTAGGGTGTAATGAAAAGGTGCGGGCATTTGTAATGGAACATTAAATTAATAATTTACGAAGAACGCTTCTTCATTTTTTACTTTAAATGATTTCGAAACAAAATATTTGAGGGAGTATAAGTTTTATATCTCCCATCCCATTTCAGCCTGACCGAACTCTTTAGTTCTGAAAATCTATTAATATACGAAATTTAGGACCTTTAACATCCCCATAGTCCAATTTTAAATCTTAGACCTATATTCAAGATTTTTTAAGAGGATGTCAAAAATACAAAACCTGATCCGACATTAAATCGTGCTCGTGAAGTAAGTTCTTGTGCAACGAGAACTAAAAATACCAATCTAATAAAAATTTGGCTGTAATTTGCTACAATCTTCGAAATGCGGAAAATCTGGATACCAAATAGCCTATCAATATTGGTAATTTTTTGGCAGGGCCAGATATTAATATATGATGTTAGATAAAGGTCTCTCGATATTGATAAACGGATCGCAGAATCATCCAGAACTCCAAAAATCAGGTGGCAAAGTTGTATGGTGGTCATACCTGCATGTGGACCGATATAGCCTATTTTGAATACTGATCATCTCTTTCTCAAGGGTATTAATATTCCAAAAGTTCTACACTTTTTTCATTTTAAAATCTTAAAATCACGAAAAATTGTGAAATTAATCAATACTTCCCGAGATATAGGGTTGCAAAGTTTGTCTGTTGTAATCGTGCTTTCTCTTTCGAACGAATCGAAATAGAAAGCTAAACTTTGGCAAACATGTTTATTTTGCCAGTAGCAGGTTAAGTTCGTAAATGGCCCATGATTTTAGCGACATTATTTACCGGAATTGTTTCAAATTTGGTATTTGAAATTCGAAATGGATACTACCTAACTACTACAAGATATGGTATAGACATAGGCCACGCCTTCTGGTACCTCCCCTACAAAGAGTAACAATACTTATATCTCTCATAACTTCAGAAACCTGTTGTGAAAATGGAATTTATAAGCCAACTCCTCCTCCGTCCGTCTCTCCGCCTGTCTGTCCGTCTATAGAAATCACAGTAGCTTCCGGACGAAATGAAGTCGGTTGATAAAATTTTACTCAGATGTGTGTTAGGTCTGCAGGAGTTTTGATATTGAAAGTGGGCTATAAACGTCCACGTTTTGGTATAGCCACCATATAACTGTAACGGCAGATTTAAGGTTTCAAGTGTCTTGATATTTTTTATTCTCAATAGGTTGAATTTCTCTTCGCAAAAATTTTTCTATATAGGTCCAGAGTTTTCTATAGCCCCTATCAATAAGTGGTTTCAAAAAAAAAAAAAAAAAAAAAAAAGCAGCTAAGTTCGACCGGGCCGAGCTTTTAATACCCTCCACCATTTTGAAGGAACTTGAAAATTAAAAAAAAAAATTGTAGACAAATACCTCTCAAATGAAACCCCTTATATGGGGGCTATATGAAGACGTGGTCATTCAAAGGTAATTTTACCCTCCACAATAGTAAAGAGGGTATATTAAGTGTGTCATTCCATTTGTAACACCTCGAAATATACATTTTAGACCCCACAAAGTATATATATTCTTGATCAGCATAAAATTCTATGTCTAGCTTCCGAACGGAATGAAGTAGGTTGATAACATTTTACTCAAATGTATACTATGTCTGCAGGACTTTTGATATTGAAAATGGACCATGTTTGTCCACGTTTTGGTATAGCCCCCATATAATGCTACCTCCTTTTTTCGGTATTTTGGTGATTTACCGGAAATGATTCACCGGAAATTTTTCAAATTTGATATTCGTAAGTTCGCAATGGGTACTACAACCTATGACAGAAATTTGTCTATGCAGGTCTTCGTCTTCGTATAGCCCCCATAGAACGGTACCTCCCGATATTCGGTATTTTGATGAATTTAGCTACATTATTCACCGATTTTTTTTAAGTTTCGCATTTGAATTTTGTAAGGGCTTATGACAAAAGCTACCTATGCAGGTCCATGTCGTCTTATAGACCCTAATATAACAGTTACATTCGGTATTTTTAATATTTTAACAGAAATTTTAGCGGATTTTATTGTTTTTAAGAATTGCCAAATTTGTTCCAAATGGTGAAGGGTAATCAAACTTACAGCTTTTATACTTGTTTTTTTTCAAATTGCCAGATTCGTTCCAAATGGTGGAGAGTATTCAAAGTTCGGCCCGGTCCAATTTATAGCCTTTTTACTTGTTTGTTATAGGCTGTAGTATCGATTCCGAACTTACGAATACGAAATTTGAATCAATTCCGGTAAAAAGTGTCACTAAAATTAACACAATACCGAATATCGGGAGGAACAGTTGTATGGGGGCTATACGAAGACGTAGCTTTTCAATTTTTTGTTACAGCCTGCAGTACCGATTCAGCATTTATAAATACGAAATTTGAAACAATTCCGGCGAATGATGCTATATTGGCTCTGATATGAGTATTTAGTATGAGGAGTTACAAACGGAATGACAAAGTTAATATACCCTCCATAGAATGGTGGAGGGTAAAAAATTAAAAATCACAGAGTATTGAAGCAAATAATCTTTTGTTTGGGAATTCGAAAAATCCCATTAAACCTGGTGTTTTGTGATTTGAAATCCCTACTTTATAGAGGGCAGGACACAATCCGCAAAACTTTCATTACACCCTAATACAACAAAATTTGTGTATCATAAATATAACATTGTAGTTTTGGGAGAGTAGATGATTTTGTTTGTCTTAGACGTGTGTTTATGTGTGTGTGCATGTGAGTTTTATAAAGTGCAGTACATTGTCCTAGAGCTGTAAGTGTTTTAGTCTGTGTACTTGTGTGTGTGCGTGTTTTTAACCGTTGAAGCCAATAATTGCTGATGCTGATGTTGTCGATGTAGCTGTTGTGAGTTAAGCATGTTGGATGCCAGTTAAGTTTATGGCTCTTATTGTAACCTATGGCTAGAATAAAGTACTCTTTAGGCAACGTATGTATGTAGCGTATGTAGTGTACGTGCAGGCATGCAATTAACATCCAAAAATATTTATAATTCATCTACTTGAATGAACAGAAAGACCAAAAGACAGACAGATAATGCAAAAAGACAGATATAATATAGACTACAAAGCAAGAAAGAGGGGCGAGAAAATACTTACGTCACTCTCGATTTGTATACATGTGTGTATGTAGGTATATGTGTGTGAATGTGTTTGTAGTTATTTATGTTTAAAAGTTGTTAATTGTTCAACGGAGAATAGTTATTTAAACTGCTTTATTTTGAAAGTTAACAAAAGGCGATTTATAAGGCAAATTTGGGAATTTATTGTAAGCTGATTGGAAGAAACTTAATTGGGATAAAGAATCAAAAATGCATTTCCGATATAAGGATCACACGAAATCTACATTGGCTCTATCGAAAATGTATAGGTACAAATTTGACTTAAACGAAGAGAAAACAAGTAACAAGCAGCTAATTTCGACCGGGCCGATCTTTTAATACTCTCCATCATTTGGAAGAAGTTTGAACCATTTAAAAAAAAATGCCTAAAAATACCGCTCAGATGAAAACCGATATATGGGGGTTATACGAAGGCGTGGCCCTGCATAAGTATTTTTTCAGAGATTCAGAACTTCAAATACGAAACAATTCCGGTGAATAATGCTGCTACTTGGAAGAAACTTGACAATTTTCAAAAATCCGTCGAAAAAATACCGCTTAAATGAAAACCGTTGCGTGGCAGCTATATGATTTTCTGCCATATACGCAGTAGCGATTCTGAGTTTCAAATACGAAATTTGAAACAATTTTCTGGTAAATAATGTTGCTAATATTATCAAAATACGGAACAAGGGAGTTACCGTTATAAGTGGGCTATACGAAGACGTGGACCTGCATTTTCGTTATACGGGCTTCCAACTTTAAATACAAAATTTGAAACAATTCCTGTCAAAAATTTCGCTCAAATCTTCAAACTACCGAATATCGGGAGGTACCATTATATGGGGGCAATACGATATCGTGGACCTATGTAGACAATTCTCTTCCAGGTGGTAAAGTACTCACAAGGAACTCCTTTTGTGGATTTTTAGATAATTCCATTGAAAATGTGGCTAAAATAATTAAAATATCGAATATCGGGAGGTACGATTGTAAGAGAGTTATACGAAATCGTGGACCTTTATAGACAATTATCTTACAGGCCCGTAAAGTACCCATAGAGGACTCCTTTTGTAGACTTTCAGGCAATTTCATTGAAAAATGTGGCTAAAATCATCAAAATTCCGAATATCGAGGCTATATATGGGGGCTATACGATATAGTGAACCGATATAGCCCATCCTCGAACTTGACCTGCCTGCACACAAAAGACTGATCTCTGCAAAATTTTAGCTTCCTATCTTAATTCGTTAGGACTCTACCATGATTACAACAGCCAGGTAGACATACGGACGTACCTGGCTAAATCGGCTTAGTATTTTACTCTGATCAAAAATATAAAGTATATATATATTCTTTAGGTCTAGAATTATAATTTCGAAGAGATGCAAACGGAATGACGAACTTAATATATCCTCTATACTATGCATTGTGGAGGGTATAAACATACTAGAAATCTAGGGCTATACTAAAACCTGGACCGACATGACCCACATTTTGTTCATGTAACCCATAGGTGAATTTAAAAACTCTCTCATCAATTTTGCCAAGAATAGAGCAACAAATTTGAATCCATTTGTGTATGGTTAAAACTATATAATGGGACCTCTAAAAAGTTCGACCTGGCAGCCAAAACCCTTTTGGGATTTTGATCTACTAACCGAATACTATCACCTCCACTGTGACTTAACCGAATTTAATTGAAACAAAAAATCAATTTTGCAAATGTCACATTTAACAAGTTACAAAGTTGACCATTCCGAAGTAATGGGTCAATATTATCCATTTCTCATCGGACCTACATAAATATGATATAAGTATTGCGACGCACCAGGGTTACTATATCGACTACTTCCTTCACTTTATATGATATATGTGATAATTTTTAGAAAATGTTAAAATGTGCGTGAGGTACCGGACGTAGTCGACCGAAGTATTCCATTTTCCCAGTTCATCTAGTACAGATAAAAATATTGGTATGGGCACAATTACAAGAAAATCGAATATTTATATCTAATTTTATGCGAAATCATAAATTTCATATTTATCTCGGGTTTCTGGCTGAGAGAAATATTTAGATATAGCAAGTTGTAAAGAATCGCTGATTTGCTATGACAGATAAAAGTATTAAAAATTCAGACCCCTTTCGGGTGAGGTACCAGAAGGGGTTCGCAGATATATATAATCTTCTTACCAGATCTTGTGTCACCAAAAATGTTTGTATGTGTGAAATTTGAAAGAGTTGGTTGCTTATTTCACTTTCTTTGGGCGTTTTGATCTTTAAAATCTTGACCCAGTAGAAGTGAACCGATATATGCCATCTTCACTCTAGATATTTTGTTAATAGAAACATTGAGATGTGCCGAGTATGAAAGTAATTGGCTGCGGGGAATGTAGCAGAATAAATGGTCCGATCTTTACCATCTTTATAACAGATCTGGTGGAAATATTGAGATGTACCAATTCTAAATCGAATCGCATGTTAATTTCGCGTTTTAAGAGCTTCAGCTGGGGTGAGGTACCAGAAGGAGTCTAACTATATTTCCCATCTTCACACCAGATATTGTGTTGGTAGAAATAATAGGATGTGTGAAATATGAAGAGAACCGGATGATTATTTAGGATTTTATGATCGTTTTGGTTATGAAAACTCTTGACCCTTTGTGGGGGAGGTACCAGAAGGAATGTTCCGATTTCTACCAGCTTTATAACAGATCTTGTGTTGAGGGAAATATTGAGATATGCTAAGTCTGAATGGAATCCGACGTTAATTTCGCGTTTTATGAGCTTGATGGACATTAAAAATATTTACCCTTTGTGGGGGAGGTACCAGAAGGAGTGGACCGTTGCATTCCATATTCAGACAAGACCTTGGGTAATTAAAAATATTGTGATGTGTGTAATGTGAAGAAAATTCGACTCTTGTATCACAGTTTATACGAGTTATAATTATTCATATTTCTCTGCAGTAAATAATTTTCCTACCCTCCACCATAGTATGGATGGTATAGTTTGTCATTCCGTTTGTAACACCTCGGAATATACTTTTTAGATCCCACAAAGTGATCAACATAAAATTCTCCGTCTGTCCGTCTGTCCGTTTGCGCAAATCACTTAGAGTCCGAACGAAATGAAGTTGGTTGAAAAAATTTTACTCAAATGTATATTATGTCTGCAAGACTTTTGGTTTGGACTTTGGGCCATGTAGGTCCACGTTTTGGTATAGCCCTCCTACTTTCGGTATTTTGGTGATTTAAGCAGCATTATTCAACAGGAAATTTGTTATTTGAAGTTCGTAATGGATGCTACTGCCTATGACAGAAAATTTTCCGTGCAGGTCCACGTCTTCGTATAGCCCGCATATAACGGCACTTGACGATATTCGGTATTTTGATGATTTTAGCGACATTATTCACCTGAATTGTTTCAAATTCGGTAGTTGAAGTTCGTAATGGATACTCCAGCCTATGACAGAAAATTGTCTGTGTAGGTCCACGTTTTTGTATAGACCTCATATAATGGCACCTCCATTTTTCATAGATTTTTTTGTCAATTTTTTTAAGGTTTCGCATTTAATTAATGTAATGGCTTATGACAAAAGTTACCTAGGCAGGACCACGTCGTCGTATAGACCCTAATATAACGGCAACATTAGGTATTTTAAAGTTTTTGAGATTAGATTTTTTTTTTTAATTTTTTGACTTACAGCTTTTTTATACCATCCACCATACTATGGAGGGTATATTAACTTGGTCATTCCGTTTGTAACTCCTCGAAATACTCATGTCAGACCCAACAAAGTATATATATTCTTGATATTCTTATCTGTTGTAATCACGCTATCTTTCGAATGAATTGAGATAGAAGGCTAAAATTTTGCACACATGTTTATTTTTCTAGTAGGCAAGTCCACGCTCTCATATAGCCCCCATATAACGGTACCTCCCGATATTCGGTATTTTGATGATTTTAGCGACATTAATCACCGGAATTGTTTAAAATTTAGTATTTGAAGTTCGAAATGGATACTACAGCCTAAGACAGAAAATTTTCTGCGCAGGTTCACGTCTTCGTATAGCCCCCATATAACGGTACCTCCCTATCCTATATTCGGTATTTTGATAGTTTTAGCGACATTATTCACTGGAATTGATTCAAAAAAAAAAAAAAAAAAAAAAAAGAAAACAAAACAAAAAAAACTACACCCTATGACAGAAAATTGTTTGTGCAGGTCCACGTCTTCCTATAGCCCCCATATAAGGGTACCTCCCAATGTTCGGTATTTTGATGATTTTAGGTACAATACCCATCGAAATTGTTTGAGATGTCGTATTTGAAGTTCGTAATGGATGCCTGTGACAGAAAATTGTCTATGCAGGTGCAGGTCTTCGCACAGCTCCGATATAACGGTACCTCCCTATATACGATACTTTGACGATTTTAGCTACATTATTCACTGTTTATTTCAAGTTTCGAATTTGAATATGGCTTATCTTAAAAAATGGCTTATGACAAGCAATGCCTATGTAGGTCCACGTCGTATAGACCCCAATAGACGGCTATATTTGGTATTTTTAAAATTTTAACAGAATTTTTTAAGAATTTTATTTTTTTGATAATTTTCAAATTCGTTCCAAATGGTGGAGGGTATTCAAAGTTCGGCCCGGCCGAACTTACTGCTTTTTAACTTGTTAATTGTTTTTTTTTTTTTTTTAATTTCGACCTTTTGAGGGGGATGTACCAGGAGGAGGGAACTGATATTGCCCAACTCCTAACTCGATCTAAGTTTGATAATAATATTACGATGTTCCCAGTTTGGACCAAATCGGATACTCCCTTCGAGAGTTATTGTGCGCACCAACTGGTCAGACAGACGGACGGAAGGACATCGCTAGATCGACTCTAAATGTCCTAAAACAGACTTGGCCCAAAGAGACCTAGAGACTAAGACCGTTCTCTAGTCATATGGCTAGGGGTATAAAAAATTATTGCCAATTAATTTTGAGAAAACAAACAAAAAATCGAAAATACAAAGCTATACCAAGCAACCAACTTTTTGGTGAGAATAAAGAAACAAGGTTGTGCTACTAAAAAAACTGGATACAACAAAGGTGGATAGAAGAGCAAAATAAGGGGAAAAGAACTTACCAAAAATATTACTTTCTTTGTTCTCTGGTATAACAAAACAAATTGATGTAGTATTACATTGGACTTAGAGTTTTATACATTAAAGAAATCATATTAAATTTAAAAAAATCATATTTAGTTTTTTTTCTGTTAAACACTGGAGGGGATGTACAAAAAAATTCATGCAATTGTTTTTTTTCGTTCTTTTATTTTTTATTTATTTTACAATTTTTTTTATTATTTTAATTTTTAGAACTTAGAACTTAGTACATTTATAATAATTATATATAGTTTTATTTATTTTTTTTGTTTTTGTTTTAAGTACTGGTCGCTTAATAAGGTCAATGTTGTTGTTGTTGTTAGATTCTGATTGGATTTATTTTTTGTTAGTACATTCGAAAGACTTCATAGGTCGCCGGTACAACACTGCTGTAGAATTTTCGTTAACAATTTTTTTGAGGATGTTTTCAAAATTATTAGAATTTTTTGTTGTTGTAGTTGTTTTTTCAGTTGTGTTGTTGTGGGAGTAGTTTTTAAGTTTTGGGGTTTAGTTTTGTTGTGTTTTTGTTGTTGTTATATCAATGAAATAAAATAAAATGACACAAAAATAGTTAGGTTTTAGTAAGAAAACATAAACATAAAATAATTTAAATATTTATATATTTTCAAACAATTAAAAAAAGAACTAAAGTCGATGGGCACCGACTACCATATAACCTACACCTTATATCAGAACTTCAAAGCAAATAATATATTTTGGACTGGAAACTAGAAAAATTAGTTTAATACATTTTTAAGCCCCTTTCTTTAAGGAATTAAAATATTTCGAAATAAAAAATATAAAAAAAGTTTTGAAAATTGGAAAATTATATTTTATTTTTATAAAAAAAAACTTTTTATTATACCCTACACCACATAGCGGTAAGCGTATTATGTCTTTATGCACTTGTTTGTAACATGAAGAAGGAATCGAGATAGACTTATAGTTGCTTTTGAGGATCTTTATAGAATCACTTTCTGAGTCGATTTATGCATGTCTGTCCGCCTGTCCGTCCGTCTGTCCATGAATTTTTGTGAACGAAAGGTCGCATTTATTATCCGATTGAGATAAGATTTTCCAAACAATATTTGTTTGGCCCAATGACGAACCCTATTGGATTAGATTTAGACGTAGCTCCCATATATCTTCCATATACCGATTTCGGGTTAATTGTGCACAAAATATCCAATACAAGTCCAAATGACCTGTATTTTGGTACATCTAACCGAATTCAGTCTAGAAGTTATTAAATTTGGTGTAAATCGGTTCAGACATAGCTATAGCTCCCATAGATATGTTTTATCCGATTTGGGGTTTAAAGTCCCTCACAAGCGCAATATGCATTCCACAACAATGGCATTTGGTACCAGATATCAGATACAGGTCTTAAATAAATGTATCAAATTTTCAAAGATCGGTTCCAATTTGGATATAGCTCCCATATATATCCTCAACCAATTTCGGTTTAATTGTTGTGCGCCAAATGACCAATATCAGTCCTAAATTTTGGCACATCCGACCGAATTCAGCCTAGAAGCAAGTAAATCAAATTTGTAGAAAATCGATTCAGGTATAGCTACAGTTCCCATATTTATGTTTTATTCGATTTGATTTTTAAGTACTAATTGGTACCAGATATCTTATAAAGCTCAGAAATACCTTTGCCAAATATTATCGAGAACGGCTAAGATTTGGATATAGCTCCCATATACAGGGTGAGATGAAAAAACTGCAACCAACTACGGACTGCTGTCATTTCTAAGCCACTCGTCCGACAGCTGTTAAAATTATTTCAGTAACAGTTCATAATATTGTTTACAAGCGTACAAAAGCATTTTGGTGAGAATTTTCCAGAAAAAAGTTATTCGTGATGGAATTCAAGCGTGATAGTGTGATTTCTTTATATTTGGCTGCAAAACCATAAGTGGCTGTCGTTAGAGCACTCCAGCATTTAAATGTGAATAAATGTTTTGTGTCTCGTACCATTGCTCGTTACCGTGATACTGGTGGCGTAGCCCGACGTCAAGAAAGTGGACGGAAGAAAACAGAAATGGTTCGAAAAATAAAGAAGCGACTTGATAGAAACCCGCGTCGCAGTGGCCGAAAAATGCCTTGTGAGCTGAACATGTCGCAATATTCCATTCGGCAAATATTGAGAAATGAGCTCGGGGAAAAGCCATTGAAATTCCAAAAAGTGCAAGAACTTACACCGCAACAGAAAGAAAATAGACGCAAAAGAGCTAAAGAGTTGATTCGCTTGGCCGAAAGTGGTGAACTGCCGAATTTGGTTTTCTCCGATGAGAAAACATTCATTGTCCAGCAGTTTGTAAACAAACAAAATGATCGTGTCTACTTGCCAAAGAGGTCAGCTGAAAATGTGCACCTTCGGTTGGCCACCAGAATTCAAACGCCGGTCATGGTGATGGTGTGGGCCGCCATAACAGCCGATGGTCGCTCTTTGCTCATATTAATCGACCGTTGCATCAGAATAAATGCCTAATATTATCGGGAAAATATTCTGGAGAGTGTAGACTTTGGACATTTCAACAGGACTCAGCACCATCGCACTCAGCACGCTCCACCCAAAAATTATTACAAAGTGAGGTTCCTCGCTTCATTTGCAGCGCACAATGGCCACCTAAATCTCCGGATACCAATCCGTTGGACTATTGTGTCTGGAGTATTTTGAAAAGCAAGGTTGGGACTAAAAAATACCGGATAACGTTAAAAATCGGACGAATTACAGATTATTCCCAATTCCCATATTTTCAAATATTTAATATCTAATCTGGTTGACGGTGTAGGTTATAATGGCATTTCATTACACATTAATGAGGGAATAGGATATATGAAGTTATTAATTTTCTTGGTAGCAAACGTGGCTTCAAATTAAATTTTTTCCAACAAAATGTACAAAAAATGTTTGGCTCTAAACACAAGGAATTGTATATATTTATATATTTTATACACATATATTTCATATACATATATATTTATATTTATTATTAACATATATCAATTAATAAGAATCTAAGCAAAAGTGAGTTAAAGAGAATTATTATTATTAATAATATTTAAAGTTAATTAAACATGCCATAAACAAAAACTAACGTCAATTTTAGTTATATTTTATTTGTTTATTTCAAACGATAATTAAAATTATTATATGTGTATATAGAAAGAGGAAAGATAAAAACTTATTTTTACAATACAGCAGCTATGTATTGTTGCAAAGGATTTGTAGGATTTGGACTTAGAAACAAAATATGTGTGTTTTGTAGTAATGTTGTGTATCTCTGTGTATAAGTTTGTTATTGATTTATATTTGAATGTTATACAAAACATAAGTCAATATTTGTTGAAAAGAAAAATTCCTAAGAGAAGAAGCAGAAAATCTGGGGGAGATTTTTGATAGTTTTTGGCAACAAGGCAAACATGACTATTTGCTGTTTATATTCCTACTAACAAGTGAACGCCACTTCCTCCGGGAAAAGTTAACCTTAAAATTTTAGATTTTAGATTAGATCGTGTTAGGCCTTTTTAGTAGTCAAAATGCCCCATTTATTCAGTTAGACATAAAATGTTTATCAAATCTTCACATATCGAACTATATTTTCAGACTTTCGAGTTTTTATATATTATTCAAGTTTTCCGTTTTCCAAAAAGAATAACAAGAAAATGTCTAACTTTTGCATCAAAAGGTCTTCATTCATTTTAAAGTTTGCCGAGAAGGATATTCGTTTGCACAATTGACTAACTTCCATTTTTGTCAAAAACTACTTCAACATCTCTCTACGTAAACCCGAGAGATCAAAGGTGACCTCAATATCAAATTTTAGAATTTCAGCTCTATTCCTTCACCCAAAATCTAAAACAATCTACACCCCTCCATCATATACAATATCAGTACAACTTAGTACTTTTCGAATAATTAAAGCACGCATTTGCAAAACCACCACCAGATACCAGCAGAGACCCCAGCATCACTTTTCGGGATTGCAGCTCTATAAATTCACTCGATAGTAAATTTAGTAACATTATGTACTTTTCGTATAATTTAAGTACTTATGTGAAAAACCATTCCATACCTCAATCCTAGACACATTTAGTCCTTTTTGTATAATTTAAGTACTGATTTGAAAAACCGTTCCATACCTCAATACTAGACATCGGCAGCAATCGCAATATAAAATTTCACGGATTCAGCTCTATCGCTTTACCCAACTCAATATTTAGTTTAATTTAGTACTTCTCGTAAATTTATAGTACACATTTCCAAAACCACCATCGACTTCAACAGTGACATCTACATCAAATTTCAGTACTTTAGTACTTATTGTACAAAATTAGGACGCATTTCCAAACCACCGCCAAATCTCAAATACAGATACCATTGCTAATCTAAACATCAAATTACGGAATTTAATCTCTACACCTTCATCCAATACAAAAAATATAGTACCATTCACTACTTTTCGTACAATTATAGTACATATTTTTAAAACCACCTACATATATTAACCATAGACACTAAATGTGACATCTATATCAAATTTAAGAATTTTATCCCTATCCCTTCACCCAATACCAAATTTAGTAACATTTAGTACGTATATCCAAAATAATCTATATCTCTCCATCCTAGACACCAGCAGTGATCCAAATATAGTACTATTTAGTACTTTTCGTGGACGTCTAGTTCGCATTTGCAAAACCACCACTAGATCTCAACAACAGATACCTACAGAGACTTCAATATCAAATTTCGGGATTCCAGCTGTATCCCTTCATTCAAATTCAGTACTATTTAGCACTTTTCGTACAAATATAGTTCACTTTTACAATACCACCTTCAAATCAGATCCAATTTTGAACTCTAGCTCATTTTGTTCGTCCAATACAAAGTTTTCAATTTGTAGTACATTTTATATTTTCCGTACTCTTTTTTTTTTTTTTCGTGTTGTTAGCAATATAAAACTGCTTTCCTTTATTCACATCGTTATTTAATCTTTGAACTCTTAACGTTTCCTTAACATATTCAAGCGATTCTTGCGCTTCCAAGCAGCACGACGTGATCCACCAATAGTTTGGGAATATCTGTAGCCCTTACCAATTCCACGAGAACTCTTTCCAGCAGAGGTAAGACCACGTAATTCTCTATGTACGAAGTACGAATTTCCACAAAACCTAGCTTGTTTACACACCTATGCACCAAGACTGACTGATGGTGATAATTTCAAAAGTCTAGCTTCAGTCGTTTTGTCCGATCGTTGATGAATCAATCAGTCGCTCTCTCACTCTCTCTTTTATATAATACATTCCTTGAACTTTCACTAAAATTCTGATGTTACACTTTTTATCTATTGCTTGCCGCCAGACTTGAGATGTGTATGTTAGAATAGCTCCAACTACGCTTCCGTACTTCCAGAGAATCGTTTTAGGATTTGGTCCCCATTTTGTCCTTCAATAGATTGATCAGCATCTGTTTGCTGTGGCTTATCGGCTGATATCCCTTTGGTATTGTCTAACTGGCCTTGTCATGTTTGCATATGAAAATTATCCTAGCTTCCTGTCAGGCAATTTAACATGGAGCAATCGAAGTCCAAGCCCATTCACCTGTCCCCTTCCTTGAATGATGAAAAACTTGTGATAGCGAATAAGTTAACGTTACCCGTAAGGTATTACGTCACACAGTTCCCTGCCGATTCTAATCTTCCCCGGATTCATCGTCTGAGTCGCCGTCGGAGTATTTAGGTACATACTGCGTGAGATGAAAAAACTGCAACTAATTTCAGACAGCTGCCATTTCTAAGCCACTCGTCCGACAGCTGTTAAAATTATTCCAGTGACAGCTCATTATATTGTTTACAAGCGTACAAAATCACTTTGGTAAGAATTTTCCAGAAAAAATGTTATTCGTGATGGAATTCAAGCGTGACAGTGTGATTTCTTTATATTTGGCTGGAAAACCACAAATGGCTATCGTTGGAGCACTCCAGCATTTAAATTTGAATTAATCATTTGTGTCTCGTACCATCGCTCGTTACCGTAATACTGCTAGCGTAGCCCGGCGTCAAGGAAGTGGACGGAAGAAAAAAGCAACATCAGCAGAAATGGTTCCAAAAGGAAAGAAGTGACTTGATCGAAACCCGCGTTGCGGTGGCCGAAAAATGGTTCGTGAGCTGAACATATCGCAATATTCCCTTCGGCAAGTGGTGAACTGCCGAATTTGGTTTTCTCCGATGAGAAAACATTCGTTGTCCAGCAAAACAAAATGATCGTGTTTACTTGCCAAAGAGGTCAGCTGAAAATGTGTACCTTCGGTTGGCCACCAGAACTCAAGCGCTGACCATGGTGATGGTGTGGACCGACATAACAGCCCATGGTCGCTCTCCGCTCGTATTGATCGACCTATCGACCTACTATCGTGTCTGGAGCAAGGTTGGCACTAAAAAATACCAAAGTGTCGATCACCTCAAGCAAACGCTTCGCCGGGAATGGGCCAAAATACCGCAGAGCAATATTCGGGCAGCGTGTGACGGTTTCATTTGCCGTTTGAAGGCCATAATTCGTGCCAAAGGTGACCAATTCGAACAAATCTAAACTTATTCTAAAATTTGTTGCTATTTCCGAAATTTTTTGCTTTCATTCAATAACATTAAAAAAAAATATATTGTGTTTGACTCATTTATTATCATCTTGTCTGAACGCTAATATCTAGGATCTCGTCTTAATCTCTCAAATCCTAACAAAACAAAATCTCATTGGGGATTAGCTATCCACATTTCAATGGCGCCCAATGTCTTTACATACATTCCTTGAATTTCTATCCTCTAATAACTTCAAAATCGACGCCTTCAAAAATTTTCCTAAAACCCTGGTTGCCTTGTTGCCATTTTCAAACATATGTTCTAATGTGCTTTTTTTTTGCCAAAAACAGAAAACTTTAAATTTAGTTGGGTTTTAATTGATTTTTATTTTTGTTCGTTGTTCTGAAACAGCACAGCATTTTTGTACATTTACGAATATGTTCCAATTGAATCAGGTGAGGTTAAAACGCTTAAGTTTAACTGATAATTATATATTTATAAAGTCAACGTTTAATCAGAAACATACCCCGATCTTCGATCCCTGGGCGTTGAGGGTGGTGTACAGGGTGAACTGGCCTCGCTAAATGAATTGCCCAATGAGGCGCACTGACGTTTCTTAACGGCTGCCAGTAGATTCAGTGTTGATCTGCTTAGGCTCGGTTTGATGGTCTGAAAGGCGGGGGGTAGCAAAATGTATATAACATTGGTAACAATTGCCCATAAATGATATAAAATACTCACATTAAAGCAAGGACCTCTTAATTCTCGTAAATCTATCGATCTAAATAAATCACATAACACTAAATCTTCCACGGATGGGCAGACACCATTGGGTGGCTCGAATATTAGACCCAAAACATCGAGAATCTGGAAAAAAAGAGAATATATTTTAAATGTAATTTAAACAAATGTTTTCATTCTAAAATTCAATCTAGAAACAAGTAAAAAAGCTGTAACTTCGTCCGGGCCGAACTTTGAATACCCTCCATCATTTGGAACGAATTTGGTAATTCTCAAAAACAATAAAATCCCTTCAAATTTCTGTTTAAATCTTAAAAAATACAATAACAATATTCAAATGCGAAATTTAAAAAAATCGGTGAATAATGTAACTAAAATCATCAAAATACTCACTAACGGGAGGTACCGTTATATGGGGTCTATACTAAGACATGGACCTGCACAGACAATTTTCTGTCTTAGGCTATAGTATCCATTACGAACTTCAAATACCAAATTTAAAACAATTCCGGCGAATAATGCCGTTAAAATCCGCCAGCTGCAGGCCACCTTGGGATAAGAAAGACGGCGAAACGAGTTTATGAGCGGTACTGTTGGCCGGGATGATGAGGGATATTGCTAGGTATGTTGCATTTCTTGTCAACAGTACAAGTCTAGTCAGTTAGCACCAGCTGGAGAGATATTACTAACAATCCCCGAGGAACCGTGGTCCATGGTTTGTGCAGATTTCGTCGGACCTCCACCCAGGACAAAACAAGGCTACACGATGCTTCTCGTATTTATTGATCGTTTTTCAAAATGGGTAGAACTGGTGGCGTTGCGTAAAGCTACCACAGGTGCCGTGATTAAGGCATTTAGAGAGCGGATTTTGTCTAGGTTCGGTACTCCGAAAGTTTTTCTCTCGGATAATGGTAGTCAATTTACTAGTCGTGAATTAGGAAGATACCTTCGAGAAATTGGAGTTCGACAGCAGTTCACCGCACCTTACTGTCCACAGGAGAACCCAATGGAGAGGGCGAACCGGCACCTTAAAGACGATGCTGGAACAGGTCTGTCAGAATCAGCACAATAAATGGGTTGAATTCGTGTATATCCGAAACCACGGGCCATAATCCTGCCTACATAATACAATGTCGGGAACTGCGGTTACCAAACACTCTCTACGAAGTAACGAATGGGACTGGTACCGCTGGGAAAGGCTCTGAGGAAAGAACGGAAGAACTCCGCGATGCTTTTAAAATTTTGCGTCAACGAATAGGTCAGGTCGGAGAACAGCAGAGGAGATATCACAATCTGCGAAATGGAAACCCACTGGGAGCGACTGGGTGTGGGTAAGACAGCACCCCTTCTGATTGAAAGTTTTGCAGCAAAGTTGGCTCCAAAATATGATGGACTCTATGAAGTGATAGGCTACACTTCCCCCGTGATTGTAAGCGTTCGCGGTCAACAACGAAACGATGTGCAAAGGGACACCAATGGGGACTATACCAAAAAGTGAATCTACATGGCCCATTTTTAATACCAAAAGTCCTGTAGACATAATATACATTTGAGTAAAATTTTATCAATCTACTTCAATTCTTTCGGAAGCTACAGTGATTTCCACAGACGGACAGACGAACGTCAGAGAATTTTATGCTGATCAAGAATATATATACTTTGTGGGTCCTAAAATGTATATTTCGAGGAGCTACAAACGGAATGACAAACTTAATATACCCTCCATACTATGGCGAAGGGTATAAAAAGGAATACCAACAATTGACAGATAAAAGTATTGATATCTAAATGAAGTATCTTCGCAAGGCATAGGCTTTAACATCCAATTACTAGTAGTGATTGACAAAGTCGGGTGAGCAAGGGTCCAGGGGCCCAAATTTTTCGTCAATTTGTCTGTAAAAGTTAAATATATAAATAAGGGACACTTACCTGTGGATAATGTTCCATTTCCATTTCTAAAACTCTCATGGACGGTTTTGGTGTTGTCATCTCCTGGCCCATGCACATTTCGTACAGCAGATGGCCAAAACAAATGATATCAACATTTTCGATGTCTGTTGTGGAACGTGACCACATGACGGCATTTATGCGCGACGATAGTCCCAGTAAACCATTTTCTAGGCCAGATAATCTGGAAGAAAAATGAGAAACAAAACAACTATGTGAAATGGAAAGATACATTTTTAATAGCACATACACATATATATGTATATGCAGAAGTGTGTTTAATCAACAATGGTGTTGGTAATTTTAAAAACGCCATGGACCAATTCAGTGACAAAAGTTCCTGAAAAAGAACTTAATACAACAAGAAGGCAATTACAACATCATAGTAAATGTGTGTGTATGCATACACATACATTCTTAATTAGCCCAATTATATACAAAATTGCAGTTAAATTTTAATGGCCTGTCTGCGAATTTTACTACCACTTCAAGCACCATTTTTGTTTTTAATTTCTTTTTCATTGTTTTCGTTAGGCGTAATTATGTCATTGTTGGATTCAGTGACGGGGGTGCTCCACAGTTTTTAAATAAATACGTGACCATTGCCTCCCTTCTGCAGTGGTCGAGACAAAAGAGGAAGGTTTTCGAAAGTACGTGGATTGAAGTTTAGATGGACATACTGGGTGAGATAGAAAACTGCAACAAAGTCAAACGCCATAATCTTTACATTTTTTTAAATGTTATTGAATTAAAGCAAAAATGTCGGAAATAGCATCAAATTTTAGAATTTTCGAATTGGTCAGCTTTGGTACAAATTATGGCCTTCAAACGGCCAATGAAACCGTCACACGCTGCCCGAATGTTGCTCTGTGGTAATTTGGTCCATTCCTGGCGAAGTGCTTGCTTGAGGTTATCGACACTTTGGTATTTTTTTAGTGCCAACCTAGCTTTCCAAAATACTCCAGACACAATAGTCCAACGGATTGGTATCCGTAGATTTTAGTGGCCATTGTGCTCTGGAAATGAAGCGAGGAAACTCATTTTGTAACCACTTTTGGGTGGGCGTGTTGAGTGCGATGGTGCGGCCACCTTTAGCTTTTTTGAGTCTATTTTCTTTCTGCTGCGGTGTAAGTTCTTGCACTTTTTGGAATTTCAATGGGTTTAGCTAATTCTTCAATATTTGCCGAATGGAATATTGCGATATGTTCAGCTCACGAGCCATTTTCGGCCACTGCGACGCAGGTTTCGATCAAGTCGCTTCTTTACTTTTCGAACCATTTCTGCTGATGTTGCGGTTTTCTTCCGTCCACTTCTTTGACGTCGACGTCGGGCTACGCTACCAGTATCACGGTAACGAGCGATGGTACGAGACACAAAAGATTTATTCACATTTAAATGCTGGAGTGCTCTAACGGGGTTTTCCAGCCAAATACAAAGAAATCACACTATCGCGCTTGAATTCCATCACGAATAACTTTTTTCTGGAAAATTCTCACCAAAATGCTTTTGTACGCTTGTAAAAAATATAATGAGCTGTCACTGGAATAATTTTAACAGCTGTCGGACGAGTGGCTTAGAAATGACAGCAGTCTGAATTTGGTTGCAATCTCACCCTGTACATTTAAGCTGTAAGTAAGGCTGTTGGGCGCCATCTAGAATTTTACATATTTTACACAATGGAGGTGATTAACACCACTATGTGGGGAAGAAATTTTAACTGGTTTTGCTCAAATCTACTGACTAATATAATTACTGAGGCCACTGGGCAAAGACAAGTATACATAATACCCTCCCTACATAGTGAAGGAATGATGGGACGTACACAGGCGACCCTTGAGCTCGAGCTACTACCTTTCTGACATGTTTTGTACATTTTACATGGAAAAATAATTTTTTTTGGAACTTTTAAAGTTTTATCTATTATTCAAGTGTTTCCTTTTTCGAAAATAATAAAAGGGAAATAAAAAAATGAAAATGAAAAATTTACACCAAAACGTTAAAATGTTTGTACAAACATAAAATGCTTGTAAAAAACATTGCACAATGGACCCATATCCAACTTTTCTGTCCAACACTATTTCAACGTCTCCATACGTAAAGCTAAGAAACCAACGGTGACCTCAATATCGACCCCTTCACACATTATCAAATTTAGTAATATTTAGTACGCATATCCAAAACAATCTACATCTCTCCATCCTAGACATTAACAGTGATAGAAAATTAGTACCATTTAGTACCATTCTAACAATTATTGTACGCAAAACCATCACAAGATTTCAACCACTAACGGTGACCCTAATATTAAATTTCAGAATTTCAGCTCTATTCCTTCACGCAATACCAAAATTAGTACTATTTATTACTTTTCGTTCGTAATTCCAAATGGCAACAAATATTGTGAATTTTAGTACTTTTGGCACAACATTTGTTCGAATTTCGAGAAAAAACTGTAGTTTTTACATACGAGTACAACACAACATCAAAGACTCTTACTCCAAATTTCAGATATCCAGCTCTTTTTCTTACTAATATACCTAAGTTAATACCATTAGTACTTCTCGTACTTTTTAGTACGTAACCCAGCCCCACAAAAAGTGATGCTATTTCAAAATTTAAGACTTCCAACTCAATATCTTACCCAAATTTAGTACCGTTTAGTACTTTTTAGCACGTTTTTCCAAAGCCACCTCCGAATTTCAACCCTACACATTAACAGTGATCCTAATGCCAAATTTCAGATTTTAAGCAATATCAGTTCCATTTAGTTTCTTTCGTACACTTGTTAAATGAAATTCAGATCCCAACCCTTTATCTTAACCCTACCCACCAGCATTGACCCCAATACCAACATTTAGTACCATTTAGTACAGTTGTTACACTAAGTACATATTCCCAAAACCATTTCTTAACACTAAACACCAATAAGTACTACATATTTCTAAAAATAATACCAAATTTTAGGACTCCAGCGGTTTACCTAAATCCAAATTGTACAATATTTATTACACATAAGTACGAACTTCCAAAAATGCATACATAATCTAATCTTATACTCCAATGGTAATCTTAATTCCAAATTTCAGGATTCCAGCCCTATCGGTTTACCCAAATCCAAATGGTACCAAATGAACGAATTTCCCAAATTTCCTACATATGCCAATTCTTCACTCCAAATTTCCAAAACTACCTTCATACCTCAATCATACAATCCCATTGAGATTTTATTTCCAAATTTCGAAATTCCAGCTCTATCGGTTCACCACAACTTCAATTTATACCAAATTTAGAACCATTTAGTACACATTTCCGTAACAACCTGCATCAAACAATCCAATAGAAATCTTATTTCCCAAATTCAGGATTCCAGCCTTATCGGTTTACCCAAATCCAAATTGTACAAAATTTAGTACAACTTGGTGCAAATAAATACGCATTTCTAAAGCTTCCTACATACGCCAAATCCTACAATCCTACAGCAAGCTCAATTTCAATTTTCAGGATATTTATTACCATTTAGTACACATAAGTGCGAGTTTCCATAACTACTTCCATATCTCAGTTCTAACTTGCAATAGTAATCTTATTTCTGAATTCAAGGTATATCAGTTCACCCAAATCGAAATTATATCATGTTTAGTACTATTTAGTACCTTTCGTGTACACAAGAAAAAACGAAAACCACCTATATTTTCCAATTAAACTCTCCGCCAGTAATGTTATTTTCAGGATTTCGGCTACATCCATTCTTCCACATTCGAATTGTACCAAATTAAGTATCGTTTAGTACTTTTCGTATACATGAGTACAAAACTACTTCCTTACATCAATCCTACTCCGCAAACTTGATTCCCATTCCGATTTTCAAGTTTTTAGATCTAACCCTTTACATGATACTTATAGTGTGAATTTCCAAAAACGCTTTGGTACATCCATCATACACTCCATTAGTGACCCTCATTCCAAAGATCTAGCTGGTTCGTCAAGCGCAAAGATACTATATTTAGTACCTTTTAGTACTTTTCGTACCGTTTTAGCACGAATTTTCAAAAACCCAGCCTTATCGGACCAATAGTGACGCTCACCCAAAATATCAAGATTCTAGCTTTAGCCGTTTCGTTGAGGAATCGTTAAGTCTGTCAGTCAGTCAATTGCTTTACTCTTTTATTAATATTACAAAATGCAAAATGCTGGGTACATATATATGTCCGAACATCGACCAAAACTTTGTTTAAAGAAAATTTTCTAAAACTTGTTAAAGTTAAAAAATATTCTTATTACCTTTAGGCATAATTACTTTGTGCATTTGCTTGTTACAGGGAGAAGGAAGCGAGATAGGCCCATAGTTACTTTTGAGGATCTTCATAGAATCACTTTCTGAGTCGATTTAAACATGTCAGTCCCTCTGTCTGTCCATCCGTCCGTCCGTATTTTTGTGAACAAAATGCAGGTCGCATCTATTATCCGATTGATATGACATTTTCGAAACAATATTTATTTGGCCCAATGACGAGCCCATTGAAATTGGATCAGATTTTAGATTGTGTACCAAATGGTCAATATAAGCCCAAATGACCTGTATTTTGGTACACCCCACCGAATTCAGTCTAGAAGCCAGTACATCAAATTTGGTTTAGATATAGCTATAGCTCTCATATATATGTTTCATCCGATTTGGGGTTTAAAGTCCATCACATGCGTCATATGCATTCAACGACAGTGATATTTGGTACGAGATATCTTATAGAGCTCAGAAATACATCTGCATGATTTTATCAAGATCGGTTTAGATTTGGATATAGGTCCCATATTTATCTTCAACCGATTTCGGATTAATTGTACACCAAATGGCTAATATTAGTCCAAATTACCTGCATTTTGGTACATCCCACCGAATTCAGTCTAGAAGCAGCTACGTCAAATTTGGTGAAAATCGGTTCAGATATAGCTATGGCTCCCATATATATCGATTTCGAATTCATTGAGCACCAAATTCCCAATATCTTTTAAAAATCCCTAAATTTTGATACATGCGACCGAATTCAGTCTAGAAGCAAGTACATCAAATTTGCGGAAAATCGGTTCAGATATAGCTACAGCTCCATCCAGTCCCTCACATTCGTAATATGCATTCGACAACAATGATATTTGGTACCAGATATCTTATAGAGCTCAGAAATACCTTGCCAAATTTTATCGAGAACGACTAAGATTTGGTTTATTTTGTAAATAATGGCTAATGGAGTGAATTTCGGGATGTACGTTTCCAGTTTGTAGAACTCGGCTCCGATATATATAGTTTTAATAAAATCCTTCTCGAAGTAATATCATGCACTCTTACTTGGTATAAAAATTAAAATGTCTCCATCAAATTTAGTGAAAATCGATTTAGAATTGGATATGCCTCCTTCTGCAACCAAACTATAAATGATCTAAAGGCAAATGTTGATAGGTGGTGTGATCTAATTGAAATAAATTCTTTTGTAAAGGGAGCTCTACTAAATATACATAGTGGTGTAGGATATCATATAGTCGACCCCGTCCGACTTTTGACTTTTCCTTACTGGTTTTATTAATGTACCCATGAGTTTACATTTATATTGTCTTTAGAATTGTACACAATTATGTAATGGCTTTCATAGATATGTATGATATTTTGAATGCATGTATATACCATGTATGTACGTGTAGCAACACCTTTACATGCCTCCTAAATGCATCACACTTGAAAATCGTTCCTTTTTAGATAATATCACTTGCTCACTTTGAAATTTGTCTTATTTCCATATAAAAGTTATTCCATTGTATTTTCGAAAAAAGGTATTTTATTTCCTTACATCACAAATCCCTTTGTGAGTAAATACTTTGAAAAGTAAATGGAAAAGAACAAATAATAGTTTTCTTGTAGAATAAATACATTTAAATTGAAATACTTCTGAAAACATTCATCAGAAACCGTTTTTTTGTGCAGTTTTTAGCACAAGTGCTACAATTACATTTACTGGCAAGAAATAGAACAATTGCAATATGAGGTATTGTTTTGTGCTTGAACAATTGAAAAGCAGAACGAATTTTGGGAAATTGTAAGATGTAAAACAAGTTACGAAAAACTTTTCTGAGTTCCGTCGACAAACAATATTATATTGTACATCTATCTTTATTTTGATAGATGTTAAAAAAAAACACAATAAAATACACTATTAGTAACATATTTGACCTAAACTCAGGCACGAACCTAGATCCGTTTAATACTTCTCTAGATACAAATAAAATAAATCTAGACTGTGCTTTATAATGACAATTTACTCATTATGGTGCCTCCTGATTTTTGAGCCAGGTTCTCAAAGTATAAAAAAATTACAAAGACATTTTGAGCTTTCATTGTATAAAAAAATCGCCCCAGGAAACTTTACAATATCGTTTAGTAATTGTTTAACAAACGTTAATGCATTGGACACATTCTCTCAAAATACCATCTTGATTGTATTTCCAGGATATGAAAATAAAACGATAGCCTCTATTTTTTATGGTTTATTCCCATCACGTAGGCAGCATAATTGATTAAAACTATGGAAGATGAAATAACTGAACAGGTAACTGTTGAAGTAGATATTCAAGAGGCTATACATATAAAAGATATATGCTGTCAGCCAATGTTCGATTATTTAAATATATTTTGACGTCGGTTATATTTTGACGTCGGTTATGTTGACCCTCTTGGAGGCCAATATCATATCCATTTCGTATCGGACTTCAATAAATATAATATAAATATTACGACGTGCCAGGTCACTTCCTTCACTTTATATGAGATATGTGATAATTTTTAGAAAATGTTATAGTCGATCGAAGTATTCCATTTTCATACTTCATCGAAAACAGATAAAACCAGTAAGGAAAAGTCAAAAGTCGGATGGGCCCGACTATTTTGTAGAGATTCCGTAACAAAAAAAAAAAAGAAATATTTGAAGTAGATCATACCACCTATCAACATTTGGCTTTAGAGCAGTTATAGTTTAGTTTCAAGGAGAACTAATATATGGTATGCATATCCAGTTCTGAATCGATTTTCACTAAAATTGACGGAGACATTTTTATCTTTTATGCCAAATAATATTGCTACATAGTGTATAATATCACTTCGAGAAGGATTATATTAAAACAAATAAAAAAGCTGTATGTTTGGCCGGGCCGAACTTTAAGTACCCTCCACCATTTGCAACGAGTTTGGCAATTTTCCTAAAAAATAAAATCCGTTAAAAATGCTGTTAAAAACTTAAAAATACCGAATGTAGCCTATACGACGACGAAGACCTGCATGGGCAACTTTTGTCATAAGTCATTACAATATTCAAATGCGAAACTTGAAAAAAAATCGGTGAATAATGTAGCTAAATCATAAAAATGCCGAATATAGGGAGGTACCGTTATATGGAGGCTCTTCGAAGACGTGGACCTGCACAGACAATTTTCTGTCTTAGGCTGTAGTATTCATTGCGAACTTCAAATACCAAATTTGAAACAATTCCGGTGAATAATGTCGGTGGAGGGTATAAAAATATGTATCGGAGCCGAGTTCCACCAAAAGGAAACGAACGTCGCGAAATTCACTTAATTTGGGCTGATATTAGCTATTATTTGCACAATAACCCTGAAATCGGATTAATATATTATTATATAGGAGCTATATACAAATCTTAGCCGATCTAAAATTTGATGCACTTGCTTCTAGACTGAATTTGGTCGGATGTACACACTTAACCCGAAATCGTTTGAATATATATATGTGGGCTACACCTAATTTGATCCGATCATGATATAATTTGTCAGAGGTATTTCTGGGCTGTCCGGTACCAAATATCATTATTACAGAGTGCATATTACGAATGTGAGGGACTTAAACACTAAATCGATTGAAACATATGTATGGGAGCTATAACTATATCTTAACCGATTTTCCTTGGTTCCTTGGTTCAAACAAATATTGTTTGGAAAATTTCATCTCAATCGGATAATAAATGTGACCTGCATTTTGTTCACAAGAATACATGAACAGACGCACGGACGGACTTATGTACCTGCATAAATCGACTCAGAAAGTGATTCTATGCAGGTCCTCAAAAGTAACTATGGGTCTATCTCGCTTCCTTCTCCATGTTACAAACAAATGCACAAAGACATAAGACCTTTACCACTGTTGTGTGGGGTATAAATATTGGTATGGACAAAATTACAAGAAAATAGAACATTTATATCCAATTTTATGCGAAATAAAAAATTCCATATTCATCTCAGGTTTCTGTTTGGGAGAAATATTTAGATATACCTAGTTGTAAGGAATCGGTGACATGTTTCGAAGTATTGGTCGTATGAATTAATATATACCCTCTTTAGCCATATGGCTGAGGGTATAAAAAGCGATAACTACATGGATTAAACTAATAGATAAAGTAAGATTCATAGAAAAATGCCGCCCGTTTTCTCCTTCTGTCATCCTATCCTGTTGTCTTTGATGCAAGAATTCATTCCAATACCATTTTAATTAAATGACCTTTCTAATATTTATAAAAAACAATCAACATACACACCCGCACGCATTGCATTTTCTGCAAAACAATTAAATGTGTCCACCTTCGGCTATTAACTGATTGTGACCTTACCTGGCAGCACCATTTTGTAAAATCACATTTCCACTGTGCAAATGACCGTGCAGCGGGAAGCCACGCTCTTTTAGAAACAGCAATGCCTCCAAGATTTGACGTCCCAAACGCTGGACTTGCGTGACCGGTAGGCCATTTGGTTTTCGTGTGTATTTACGTGACCATGGCTCGTTCCATTGGGCCTAGAATGAGAGATGTGTGGGTGAAATAAGGAAAAAGTTTAAAACAAAGTTGCAATTTCATGGTTTCAACATTGACTCGGTTAAAAGCGTTTACAACCTACATGAATTGAACACAAATGTTTTTTATTTGACATTTGTTTTAATTTTTGTAATTGCATAGATTTAATAGCATTTTATGGATTTTTGTCGCATGTGTTCGTTAGAACTTGCTTCCCTGGTGTAATATCATAAAATGTGTCCTTTTTGCTTTTCTCTGTGGTGGGTGTTTTACCTTTTAATTAATCATTGTTGGTAATTGATATTGTAGCCATTAATGGTACATGTTTTGTGACTCAAGGTAAAATTGATGCGAGATTCTCAGAGGAACTGGTTATGGCAAATAATTTTATACAGTATAATGGGAGATTTGTTTATTACAGCTGGAGATTTTCTACTGGCTTTAGAAATGAGTCGATATTATGTAGTTTATTCTCGGGATTTATTACAGGTCCTCTCATGTTTAATTAACTGTCGAAATATATTTTAAAATATCTCCCTTATTTTTAGTGGATTAGTTGGAAAGGTCAAAAGTTGGACGGGACCGGCTATATGATACCCTAAACCACTATGCGTATTTGGTAGAGCTCCCATAACAAATCTGATGCCCGGTATCAAATATCATTGTTGTGATTTTATCAATGTGAGGGACTTTAAAAACAAATCGGATGAAACCTATATATGGAGCTATAGCTCTATTTGAACCAATTTTCACCAAAATTTAAAACACTTGTTTTTAGGCTGATATTATCCATTAGGTGCACAAAAAACCTGAAATCGGATAAAGATATATATCCAAATATGAACCGATCTCGATAAAATTTGGCAGAGGTATTTCCGCGCTGTATTTGATATCTGGTACCAAATATCATCCTTGTAGAGTGCATATTACAAATGTGTGGGACTCAAACATCAAATCGGATGAAAGATATATATGGAAACTTTAGCTATATCTGAAAGGATTTTCTCCAAATTTGATGTACTTGCTTCCAGACTGAATTCGGTCGGATGTGCCCAAATTCAGGTCATTTAGACTGATATTGGCCATTTGGTGCACAATTAACCCGAAATCCGTTTAAGGTATATATGGGAGCTATATCGGCTCTTTATCAAATTTGGCGGAGGTATTTCTGGAATGTATCTGATATCTGGTACCAACTATCATTCTTGTATGATATAAATATCAAATCAAATCTCAACCCATTTTCACCAAATTTCAAGCACTTGTATAAAACAAAATTGTGTAAAACACCTATTTCTGAGCCACATTTAACATTTGGTACCCAATATCATTCGTGGAGTGCGTATTACGAATGTTATGGCCTTAAAACCCCAAATCGGATATGGGAGCTATAGCTATATCTGAACCGAATTTGCGAATTTGATGTCATGCTTCCAAACTGAATTCGGTCGCCATTTCAGTTGAAGATATACATGGGAGCTATATCTGAATTTAAACCGATTTCACAAATTTCAATAGGATTCGGCCAAACAATTATTGTTTGTAAAATTTTATCTCAGTCGGATAATAAATACGACCTGTATTTTGTTCACAAAAATACAAGGAGAGACAGATGGACGGACAGACGGACTGCATGCATGCATAAATCGACTCAGAAAGTGATTCTACGGAGATCCTCAAAAGTAACTATGGGTCTATCTCGCTTCTTTCTCCAGGTTACAAACAAATGCACAAAGACATAATACCCTTATCACTACGTGGTGTGGGGTATTAAAAATTGCTTTAACCTGTTTCTTTTGTATAAATGCTAACCTTTTTATACCCTCCACCCCATATAACGATACCTCCCGATATTCGGTATTTTGATGATTTCAGCAACATTATTCACCGGAATTGTTTCAAATTTCGTACTGGAAGATCCTAGTGGGTACTACAACCTAAGACTGAAAATTGTCTGTGCAGGTCCACGTCTTCATATAGCCTCCATATGAAGGTACCTCCCTATACTCCGTATTTTCATGATTTTTGGGACGTTATTCACCACAGTTGTTTCAAATTTCGTATTTGAAGTTCGTAATGGACACTACAGCCCCCATTTAACGGTTTTCATTTAAGTGGTAGTTTTCCGATTTTTTTTTAATTTCTCAATTTCCTTCGAAATGGTGGAGGGTATTAAAAGTTCGGCCAGGCCGAACTTACTTTCTTTTTTACTTGTTCTGATATAATCCTTCTCGACGTGATATCATGCACTCTATAGTAAAATATAACAGCTCTAAAGCCAAATGTTAATTGGTGGTATGATCTACTTCAAATAAATACTTTTGTTACGGGCGCTTTTCTAAATATGCATAATTGTGTAGGGTATCATATAGTCTTGACTTTTGACTTTTCCCTACTGGTTTTTAATAAAATCCTTATCGGAGCCATATTATGCACTATACAGTAATATAATTTGTTTGTATCATAGTTTGTATTATCTACATCACATAAATACCCAACAAAGCTTTTTTGTTACGCGATCTCTACTACGCGTAGTGTTGTAGGATATAGGGAACTGTTTATAACAAGGACAGGCCACATACTGTATATTTTTGCAATAAAACTATCCAATTACCTCTGATCTGATCGCAATTAGATGCTACTTACCTTATAGATTAAATCCTTAAGACTACCACGGGAATTGAAGGGCGTCACCAAACAGGCAAAATTTCCCGAACTGATATGAAGAAAGCCCAAATCGAGCACTGGATAGATATAGGGATGGTGAAGGGAGCCCAACAACTCCATTAAAATGCTTTTTGGACTTTCGTTGGGCGATAGATCTTCGAAGGCAACACAATCCGGAGGCAGGGTTAACATGGTCATTAGGCGATCGGTGCGGACCTACAAAATAAAAGGGGATTCTCAATAAATTAAAAAATGATAATTTCACAAACATTTCCCACTTACCGAAGAATCAGTTACCAGGAACCAATTTTTCCCATGTCTCGAACCGATCTCATCCAAATGGGCGATAACCTCATAACGACCATTCGATTGCTGCACCCATTCCTGGGTGGCATTGAGGGCTTTTTCGCGCGCAGCCCGTTCACGGGGCGAACGTTCGACGACACCATTGCCACTATCTAAGGCCGAGTATTGATATTTGATATTGGGTCTGCAATTGTGGTGGGATAATGGAAAACATTCATTAGCTTGGCAATTTGTGAGGTAATATGTCTTTTTCATCTTCTTCTTTTCGTTTAACTAAATAAATTAATTACTTAAACTTAATTAACATTAACTATTACTTAAGAAGGGTAATTAACTAAATGTTAGTACTAATAAAAATTACAATAACATCGTTGTTAGTTAAGGGAAAATTACGTCATTGGTTGGTTAGTGAATGATTCGGTTAGTTAAACATTTAAAATTCTAAGACCATAAATAAATACCATACGCAATAGCAATAAGAATGGTTACAAGTAAATGACGTCATTACGTTACTAACTAATTTATAATACACACATGTGGGGAAGACATTGTCAAGTGGTAAACTATAGTTTGGATGTGATGACGTTCTGGTTACGGCGTCATCAAAACTCAAACTGTTTCTTTTCACTCACGCTTTTATTTGAATCTAGCGAGCAATAAATCTAATTTATACATATATACTATATTATCGCCCCACAAAAGTTGTTATAGTACGTGTTTTATACCTTAAGAAATTCTGCTAAGTATAGTGGTATCGTGGTATAGACCCAGAGCTAACAGGGTATTATGTTTTTGTGCCTATCTATAAGTATGTTAAATTTGGTGAAAACCTATTGAATTGAGCAAGTATATCTGTAGCCACAGATACCAATTATATGATTAATCCGATTTTATATTTCAGTCCCCTCAAAACCGAAATATGTACTTCACGTCAATGCTCTATAGACTACCAAAATGCCATGTTTGTCCATCCGATGTTATCGAATTATTTTTTGAAATAAGACAAAACTTTGTAATTGTTGATTTTCGGTTCAGATTTAGATATAACTCACTCCAATTTGGTTGAATTTTGAATCATGCTATCAGTTCCAATTAGAACCAGTAAAAAAAGTCCTAAAGTCGGGCGGGGCCGACTTTATGATACCCTACACCACTTTGCTAAATTAGTAGAGCTCCACATAACAATTAAAAGTTTTTGTGGGAGAATTCAATCATACACGCTATGATTATAATTGTAATTCAAAGTTCAAAGGACTAAATATTCCGAAGCATTTGTATCTTTTGAATTCGGACTTGTATTGCCCATTTGATATATGGGAGCTATATCCAAATCTGAACCGATCTCGATAAAATTTGGCAAAGATATTTCTGAGCTGTATTTGATATATTTCCCTGAATATCGTTGTTACGGAGTGCATATTACGGCTGTGGGTAACAAATACTACAAATCGGATGAACAATATATATGGGAGCTATGGCTATATCTAAACCGATCTTCACCAAACATACTAGCTTCTAGACTCAATTCGGTCGCATGTGCCGAATTCCATCCCATTTGGGCAAATATTAGACGTTTGGTGCACAATAAAAGGTAAATCGGACGATGTTACATATGGGAGCTATATCCAAATCTGAACCGATCTCGATAAAATTTAGCAAAGGTATTTCTGAGCTGCATTTGATATATTTCCCCAAATACTGTTGTTACAGAGTGCATATTACGGCTGCGGAGGACAAAAATAACAAATCGGATGAACAATATATATGGGAGCTATAGCTATATCTGAACCGATTTCGATAAAATTTGGCATACTTATTTTCAGGCCTAATTTGGTCGTATGTGCAAAAAATTCGGGCTGATATTACACGTTTGGTGCACAATAAAAGGCAAATCGGACGAAGATATATATGGGAGCTATATCTAAATTTTTACCGAATATCTCCATTTCAATAGGGTTCGTCCTTGGACCAAACAAATAATTTGTGCAAAATTTCATCTCAATACGATAATAAATGCGACCTGCATTTTGTTCCCAAGAATACATGGACAGACGGACTCACATGCATAAATCAACTCTAAAAGTGATTCTATGGAGATCCTCAAAAGTAACTATGGGTCTATCTCGCTTCCTTCTCCATGTTACAAACACATGAACAAAGACATAATACCCTTACCACTATGTGGTGTAGGGTATAAATAGTATTCAATACCAGTACCTAGTAGTTTTACTTCTACAACTGATGAAATTATATACCTTAACAAGTTTCTATGTTTTGGTCCTTAATTACAACTTGTTTTAGTGTTTTTGTTTTCACGTCTTATGGCATTTCTTAAAATAATTAAATTCTGTTTTTGATACAAAGTTAGATATTCTAACTATTTGGTATTAATTGAGGGAATACATACAAAAAGGTAGTTAGATGAAATTCCGATGCCAAATTTTAAATAATTTCATAAAAATGACAAATTTAAGGTGGTGCCGTCTTTTGGGTTTGTATGGAAAGTTGGTTCTGTATTGATATTTTTTTAGGTTGAAATTGGTACGTATTACTAACTTCACATATCGAACTTCAATTCAATTGAAAAATGTGAATAATATCATTAAAATATCGAATAACGGAGCTGTTCGAAAATGTGAAACATAAACAGATATTTTGAGAGGATAATGATAGGCGAGTTCGATGATAATTTTATTTCATTTTGGGACCGGTCAATTAGCCTTGCAATTTTGTGGGGATTTGCTAGGTTCTACGATATTAGTGTTTCAAATCTCGGCCTGACTCTGTCTGATATTAGTGTTTCACACAAAGTGACTAAGTAAGTAAATTACTTCCAAGTGTGGACCAAATCGAGTACTCATTTCAAAAGTTATCGTTTGCAACACAGGTCAAACAGAATGTTCATGGGTGAAAATCGCTCCATTGGTATTGGCCGTTAGAGAAATTAGAGAAACGAGAAAAAAAAAAACAAGTAAAAAAGTAGTAAGTTCGGCCGGGACGAACTTTGAATACCCTCCACCATTTGGAACGAATTAGAAAAATTTAAAAAAAATTAAATCCATTAAATTTTTTTTAAATCTTTACAATATTTAATATAGGAAGGTGTCGATATATGGGGGTATATAAGATATTGAAGATATGGGGGTATGTAAGATATGTGGGTGTAAAGTACTCACAAGGAACTCCTTGTGTGTATTTTCAGATAATTCCATTGGAAAAAGTGGCTAAACCCCTGAATATCAGGGGGTACCGTTATATGGGGGCTATACCAAAACGTGGACCTATAATTACAATGACTCGCCACACGAACTGGGATCCATTATGATCTACAACTACCAATTTTCAGAAAAATTCTTGAAAAAATGAGTCATCATCAAAATACCGAATATTAGGAGGTACCGTTATATGGGGACTATATCAAAACGTGGACCTATACATACAATTTTTCGCCACACGAACTAGGACCCATTATGACCCACAAATACAATTTTTTAGACAAATCAGTGAAAAAATGTGGCAAAACCATCAAAATACCGAATATCGGGAGGTACCGTTATGGGGGCTATACCATATCATCGATCCATACATGCAATGTTTCGCCACCGGAGCTGGAACCCATTATGACCAACAAATACCAATTTTTAGACAAATCCGTGAAAAAATGTGGCAAAAAAATTACAATACCGAATATCGGGAGGTACCTTTATATGTTACAAACGGAATGACAAAGTTAATATACCCTCCTTTCCAAGGTGGATGGTATAAACATCTGGTGAATAATGTAGCTAAAACCATCAAAATACCGAATACTGATATATGGGGCCTATACAAAGACCTGGATCTGTATAGACAATTTTCTGTCATAGACTGTAGTTCCTATTACGAACTCTAAATACGAAATTTGAAACAACTCCGATGAATAATGTCGCTAAAATCATCCAAACACCGAATATTGGGGGAACTATTATATGGAGGCTGTACGAAGACGTGGGCCTAAATACGCAATTTTTTGCCTGCAGTACTCATTACGAATTCAAAACACGAAATATGAAATAACTCCGGTAAAAATGTCCCTAAAATCGTCAAAATATCGAATATCGGGGGTACCGTAGTATGTGGACTATACGCGACTCTCTTTCAGGTGGTAAAGTAGTCACGAAGAACTCTTTGTGTAGAATTTCAGACAATTCCATTGAAAATGTGGCTAAAATCATAAAAATACAGAATATAGGGAGGTACCGTTATATGGGGGGAAACGATATCGTGGACCGATATAGACAGTGCTCTTCCGGGGGGTAAGGTACTCAGAAGGAACTCATTTTGCGGATTTTCAGACAATTTCATTGACAAATTTGGCTACAATCATTAAAATACCGAATATCGGGCGTATCGTTGTATGAGGGCTATACGATATTGTGGACCGATATAGTCCATCTTCGAACTTATCCTGCCTGTAGATAAAAGACTGATCTGTGCAAAATTTTAGCTTCCTAGCTTTATTCGCTTTGACTGCAGCGTGATCAAGAATATATACTTTGTTATGTCTAAAATTACTCAATGACGAACATAATATACTCTCCATACTATGTATGGTGAAGGGTATAAAACATACACTGAGCTATATTTAAAAACTTAATTCTGAGGCGGAATCGGCCACCTGTTGGAGATAAATGCTATCGACTTAACGAGACATCGGCTTTACAGGGTGTGCAGCACATGTTGACCAAGGGCAATACTAGTGAATGTCAGTGATGGTCAACCTTGCGGTCGTCGAGCGAAACTAACACAGAAAGACAGACGCACGGTTGGTCACGACTAGAAAGACTTCAAATGTCCTGAAGCGGACAGATTTTGATGTTAGCCGATTTTGCCAAAAGCAAAATTTTCACAAAAGTTCGGTCTGACCTAACTTAAGCTAGTGTTTACTAGTCAAATTATTCCCATTTATATCATTCATGCTTAATTATACATGAGTTTTCCCCATCCACATCCGTTCATTGCAATCCATTCTAACTGCCATCAAATGATCATTTCGCTTTAATGAACTTCCGTTTTATCGATACAAATTTATGATTATTACACAGTAATTATGTGCCTGCTATCGGATGGTGTATTAAATCGGCTTTGCAGATTGCATAGCTGATTAAATATTATTGCAATATTTACTTTTGGCAATTGATGCCA